TTTAAATGATCTGATTTTAAAATAAAGAAAAATCGACACTTGTCAGAGAGATATTCCTGTCTGATGTGTTCAAAGAAATGCCCAATAAAGTTACTTTTAAACAGCTTAATTCAATTAACAATTGGATTAGGTTCTGTTAAAATCAAGAAGCAGCATATTTTTATGCCAAATATGCAGGTAAATTATCTGCAGATATTTTAAGATGAACGTAAAATCAGATAAAACTCGGTAAGTCTGACTGCAATAAAATCATAATTCCAGGAAAACAAAGTAAGCATATCTAAACCTTATGAAATATGATCTCTATCTCGTTTCTTCAGATAAATGGATTTAGAAAACATGATAATCCCACTGTAGTTTCTTACGTGGTTTAGTGTTTTTAAAGTGCTAAACATTATTTTCCAGTTTCCATAAGAAAATGTACCCTTTAAGAGTGTTACTTCTCTTTAATTCTCTTTGATTCATTAATAGTTGGAGTGTGAGAAGTTGACATCACCAATTTTATTTTTTTAATTTTTTAGACCTTTTTTATTGAGTTAAAGTCATTTTACAATGTTGTGTCAAATTCCAGTGTAGAGCACAATTTTTCAGTTATACATGAACATAAGTATATTCACTGTCACATGTTTTTTTTCACTGTGAGCTACCACAAGATCTTGTAGATATTTCCCTGTGCTATACAGTATAATCTTGTTTATCTGTTGTGCATATGCCTGTCAGTATCTACAAATTTTGAAATCCCAGTCTGTCCAGAAGGAACCCTACTGCAAAAAGACAGCTGCACCCCAATTTCATAGCAGTGCTATTTACAATAGCCAAGACATGGATACAGCCTAAATGTCCATCAACAGATGACTAGATAAAGAAGATGTCGTATATTTATACAATGGAATACTATTCAGCCATAAAAATGACAACATAATGCCATTTGCAGCAACATGAATGTCTCTGGGGAATGGTCTCATATTAACATTGCAATGTCAGCTTTGTTTTAGGCAGCCTATTTTTGATTTATGTCTTTCCAGACCTTTATTTTCAGCTTCTCTGAGTCATTTTGTTATCGGAGTGTTCTGTATAGGTATTTCTGTGTAGGTGCTGTAATTCTTCTTTACTTTTTTTGTAAATATAATTGGACAGTTCTGTATTTTAAGACATAAGTTTCACCTGTTCACATGTATTACAACTACAGACTGCTTGGATTCACTTATCTGTTTTCAAAATTGGATTTACTGCAAATATTATTTTGCTTTCTGATTATCACTTCTCTCTACTCTCTCCCTGGTTTTCCTTCTTTCTATTATATTGATAAAGTTATTCTGTATTCTTCCCTTCCTTTAATCTTTGTTTGAATTTTTGCATGTATTTTTTCATATTTTGTTAGTAGTTACTATCAAATTTTTGTTATTTGTACTTAGATGTATGTTTTTCCCCAGCAAAAGCTAGAGTTATGCTGTTTCTCTTTCCCCTCCTAAAACTAATCATTTTATCATGTTTTAATTACCCATTGAACTATACTTCCCAATTCTTCATTCTTGCCGGTTAGAATTTAATTCCATCTTTTACAAATAAAAATTAACAATATTATATTAAACTTAGTGGCGTATTTTCTAATTTTTCCTCACTTTGTCCATTGTCACTTGTTTTTTTCCTGTGTGTTCAGTTTTCTCCATTCAATAAATATTTATTGAGAACTTCTGTATCAGGCATTATTTTAAGCAGTTGAAAAATATCAATGAACAAAGGAGACAAAGATCTCTTCTTTTATAGATTTAAAAATTCTTATTAAAATATACTAATAGTTCTTTCATAGACGTTCTATAATGATGTAAAACTTTCTGAGAGTATATATCTGAAAATATCTTTATTTCATATTTACTCTTGAAAGATACTATCACTGGTGATAAAATTCTAAGTTAACATTTATTCTCTCTTTAGTATTTAGAAGATTAATTCCTTTTCTGCTGTTACTCATTTTTGCTGCTGGTGATTTTGCTATCAGTCTAATTGGCATCTGTATGTAAACTTTTATCTCCCTAGTAATTTTTATTTTTACCTTTTATGTTCTGCAGTTTCATAAAAATCTGAAAGTTTTTCTACTTTGTTGGGCACTACTATAAGTGAAGATTCATATAATTATTTCTGGACAATCCTCATCTGTTATTCTTTGTTTAAACTTCTAAGATTGAAATAAAACACACATGCAGAAAAGTGCACCAATTTTAAATTACAGCTTGATGGATTATCAGTCATGCCTGGCTTTACTTCAAGATTGTATTTGTGAGATTCAGTTGTGCTTTTCATATAAATCATGTAGATCATTCGCTGATACTGCTTTATAGTATTTCAGTGTAAATAAGCCAGTATTTATTTATCCTTTCTTTGTCCAGTGTTTCCCTGTTATGTATAATATGGATATTTGCTTATTATGTATAATTATGGATAATGTTGCTCTGAACTTCAAAGATTCCTGGTGCACATGTGCCAGAATTTCCATTGGGTATATTTTCTTAGAAATGGACTTCCGGGACCCTAGGGCAAATTGTAAACTCTAGGTGTTCTACTTTAGTAGATATCAACACATACTTTTCCAAAATAGCTGTATCAGTGACACACCTGTCAAGATGTTCAGGTCTCTAGTGCCCATCTTCTTATTTGAACCATTTTGGTGTGTATGTAGAAATAGCTTATTATGGCATTAGTTTGCATTTTCCTGATTACTAATGAATTTGAGAAACGTTTCATATGTTTATCAGTTGACTATCTTCTTTGGGAAGTGTTTAGGTCTCTTTCTGAAGATGAATAAAAAAACCATACCTGCTCTCAAGACTTCATGGACCAGCCAGGGAGGTAGACATGCGAATAACTGCATTAACATGTTATCATAGGTATTAAAGAGAAATTCAATTATACATATAAATGCATTTTTGGTATCAAATATACCTGAATCTTGACAACACCCATAGCTTTTAAGTGCTAAAATGAATTTTAGACAGAGCCCTTTACCAATGACTGTTCAGAGGAGGTCCAGGAAATACCGCAGACATTTACTAAGAACATCCTGTACCCCAGGCAGGCTTTTTCCAGCTAAGAAAGTTCCACAAATAAAACGGCAAGTAGCACCAACCTCAAAACCCACTTAAGCTTCCACTTAAGTGTTGAACCAGGAATCCCACCACTGCCAAATGGCAACTCAGGCTGGCACTAGCAGCAACCAAATCTGAGAAAGTTACAAGGAATCCCATGGCAATTCACATCTCGCAGTCAAAGCAAGTTTGAGAAAGTGAGAGGGTTTGGCAGAGGGAATAGCTGGGACACTGTCCCATGGCTGCACTGGTTACATGACAGCTACTTGGGGTGGCTCTGTCCTTAGTGTTTCACATAACATGCAAATATACGTTTTATCTGCTGCCATCCCAGACTGGCTCTGCCTTGTCACTTTCCAGTTTTGCTCACTCACTTTCAGATGTCACAGTTTCTACTTTATATGGGAACCAAATATACCCATTGCAATTTATTTCCCTCTGTACTCAGAGATTCCAGAATTGCTTCCTTCTAAACTGGCCCCAAGTCCCTGGATGTTGCTGATGCTCACAGAATTACTCTCTCACGCTCTGGAGTTTCTTTGGCTATCAGGGCATTCTGAGTTGTCCCAGGCTTCCAGATGAATTATGAGAAATTGGCAAAGGAAGCAGTGGTATCAAAACCAGAGAAGCAAAAAGTGTTGATGCCAAGCCAAGTTCAAATGGAAATAGTCATTCTCCTTTTAGGCCAATGAAAACTTAGGTTTATGTGAAGCATTCAGAGGAGGGCTTCCTTCCCTGTATCACCCAACAGATATTTACTGGGTGCACATCCTGGTTGCAGCATGTATCCACTAAGAGTCTCTTCCACTGCAAGGAAGACCACATGGAGCTAAGTGAGCTGGAAAAGTAAGTGGACTCCATT